AGTGTCCTTTAATATTTTGTGTATGTGAAATATTAAAAGCTATGAGAATCATACTTAAAGGGAGACAGGGAACTGTATATTCATTTAGTTTGTATTCTAGAAGGTCTGTGTTTTCGTTAGTTGTTGTATTATTGAATTTTCGAAAATATCGGAGGAGTGTTTTGTTTCCTAGAATAGTTGAATCTGCTTTGATAGGTTTAGTTTTATATTTGTGCCATGATTTCAGTTGTCGAATTACTGGGTCAAGGTTTTGATATTCTTTCAGTGTTGAAATTGTAATTGTTTCTGTTGGGGGGAGAAAAATGTTTTCAATTTCTAATTTAGATAAGGGTATTGTATCAAGTGGGTCATGGAGGTCAAAAACTTGATTTATTGTGTATTTTGAGTCGTTTGTTTGTGGTCCTGATAAATTTATTTTATCAGTTAGGTTTTCTTTTTCAATTAGTGGAAAAAGGTCTTTCTTATGCGAGTGTTGTTTTACTCTTTTTTGTTGTGTGTTATTTTATATCCATTGTGAATATGGGATTGGTTTAAAAGTTGATGTTCCAAGTAGATCAACTTCATAGTGATTATTTTGACAATCTAAATAAAGTGGGAAATGTTGTAAATTATTTATTTGTGATTGTTCAACGTCAGTTTTTACTGCATATTTGCATTCCAATCGGGGTGATGTTTCATTTTCTGCAAGGTAGAATTTTATATTTTTGGGTATTTGAACAGTGGTTTTACGTGTAAGTAATTCAGGTGGCGTATTTCGACTTAAGGTGTCTGGTAATGCAAGATTTTTTCCTGCGTCCAAACTATATGTAAGTTTGGGAATTTCATTAAAATTAGTTGAAATCTATAAACTCGGTGGTTTGGATTAGACTTTTGTGTAAAAAGAAAGATGATTGGTTTATGGTTTGTGAATAGAACTGTGGGATGTTTTGATCCAAGTATCAGAAATTCATATTCTGTTAGTGTATATATTATGGCTGTACATTCTCTCATTAGAGTTGAGATTCGTAGCTCTGCTTGAGTGAATAATCGAGAATTTGCTGATATGAGGTTCATTTTATTTGTACCATTATGTGATTGTAATAATGCTGCGCCGATGCCAAAGTTCGAAGCATCGCACATTGCATAAAATGGTTGATTTGAATCTGGAATTGTGTTTGATATTTGTTCAGTTAGAAGTTTTTTAATTTCTTCAAATCGTGCTTGATGTTCTGTATTCCATTCAAAATTATTTTGTTGTCTAAGTATATTATAGAATGGTCGTAGATATAATTGCATTTTATAAACATATTTGCTTAAAAAGTTTAGCATTCCAAGGAATTCTTGGATTTTCTTTTTATTTGTTGGTGGTTGGAGTTTTTGAATAGCGTCTATACGTGATTTCAATGGAGTGATTGTTTTTTCTTTCTATATTATGTCCTAAGAATTTAACTCTTGTCAAAAAGAAGTGTGATTTATCGGGGGCGGCCTTCAGATTTTCGTTCTGAAGTATTTGGTGATATTGTTCTAAAACATTGAACATTTCCTCTTTTGTCTGTGATTGCATAAAAACATCGTCTAAATAGGTGATTGCGTTTTTCTTGAGTATTAGTGGTCGAAAAATTTTGCTCATAAAAGCTGAAAATGCTGCTGGTCCTATGGATATTCCGTAGAATAAGCGGTTGAATTCGTATTGTTGGTTTCCAATAACAAATTGTGTTAAACGTCGTGATTGTTCATCTAATGGCATTTGATTGTATGCACTATTCATATCTGCGGTTGTAAAATATTTTCCGTTTATTTTTGTTAAAATAACTTGTATTGGTTCAATAGGCCAATTACACTTTGATTCATCTATGAGTGAGTTGAGGTATCTAGCATCGAGAACAATTTTTAATGATTCTCCTTTGGCTAGAATGATAACAGGGTTGATAAATGTGTTGCCTTTTGGTTGTTCTTCTTTGTTTACTGGTGATATAATGTTGTATTGTTCTAAAATGTCGAGTAATCTGTTCACTTTATCGTGTAAGTGAATTGGTACTTTACTTGCTCTTTGTTTTTTGAAAACTGCGTCTGGTTTTAATGGGAGATGTAGTGATGAGCTGATTTTGCCAACATCAAATTTGGATGTTGCATAGACTGATGAATATTTAATTAGCTGTTTGGCTAATTTTTCAAATTCGTCTTGTGTTATTTGTGAATGTTGGAAATTAAACATTGTTAAAAATGTCTGTTGATTTTCTGTGTAGTTATTTATGTTGAATGTCGGTTTGAAATATGGGGTTTTTGTGAAATAATCCGTATTTCTGTTTTCGTTACTTATTATATTATTTATAGATAATTCTTCATTAAGGATTGTGGATTGGCAAATATCTAGTAATTGGAGTATAATATTTACACGATATGCTTTTTCGTGTATTGGTGATATTGTAGCGTTGGTTTCGCAATAGCCTAAAAGTCCTAAAGGTAATGTTACTTGGTAAGGTGTATTATTGTATACATGTAAGGAAATAATATCTGAATTCGAGTTTTTCAAATATTTTATTGATGAGATTGTGATTTTGAGAAACTTATGAATAGGTTTGAATTCAAAATCTGACATATAAAATTTTTGTTTGTTTTGTTTTTTATCATATTGGTGAACTTGTTTGATTGAAAAATTATAGATGTTTCCTGATAGTGGTTTCAAGTGTTTTCTTTGTTGGTTATATGTTGGGTAAAATTTTGAAAAGAATGGTGGTTGTTTATTTAATCTTTGAAAAAATGTTAGGGATGTGTCTTTTGTTTTTGTATATTTATCTTTGATTAATATTTTACTATTCAAGATGTTGATTGATGGTATATATTTAGAGATAAATGGTATTCCAATGATATTATATTTAATATCAGTGATATGGAATATTTGTTTAAATGGTTTGGTTAAAATTTTGTTTTGCTCCATTGTTCTTGTGGGGAGAAGAAATAATTGAATTTTTCCGTAGTTTATTAATGTTGATCCTTGTGCTGTTGCTAGTTTGCTGGAGGTTTCAAGAGGTGTTAGCTTTGGGTGTAAGGTTTTTATTTCATTCCATGTGGGAATGTTTATTATATTTGATTCTGCTCCTGAATCAATTAAAAAATCAATTTCAAGATCTGGTGGTTGAAATTCTTTGCTTCTTGGACTTTCTAAAAGAAATGGTATTGTCCAAATTTTTTCTTTGGGTTGTTCTTTTTGTATGTTTTGATAGATGTGATTTGTATTCAAGCATTTTGTTTTTTCGTTCTCATTGGGTTGATTTGTAGTGTTAATTTTATTAGTTTTTTGCGTCGTCGGTGTGGAATGGATGGGTTCGATATAATAATTGTGAAGGAGTTCTGATTGATTTTCATATATGTGTGATGAAAAAGGTTGTTCATATATAACAGGTTCATAGTCATTTTCGACTTTTATCATATTGATGGAGAGAGTGTTTTCTGCATCGCTTTCTGAATCTGATGATCCACAGTTTATTTGATTGAGTTGTAACGTATCAGTTACTGTGTCATCAATACCTGGAGGGTCTGATGTTGTTTCTGGATTAAATTGTACTTGATTAATATGTCTTTGATGTTTAGGTGTACTACTTCTGTGGCGATTATTAGAATTATTATAGTTATTATTATTCCGGTGTGGTGATTGGGAATAATTTCTATAACGATTATTATAACTTGAGTGTCAATTTTGTGAATTATTTCGCGATCTATTTTGGTAATTATTGTTTGGTCTGTTATAGTTCGATCTATTATATGAATTATTCCTTGATTGATTGTTCGGGTAATTCTGGTTTCGGTTGTTTGAATAACTTCTATTCCGATTATTGGAGTAGTTTCTATTCCTATTGTATGATGAATTTCGTGATTGATTGTTTGGATAGTAATTATTTCTTGATTGGGAATTAGATCTAGAAACAAATCGTTGTGTATTTGAATTTGAT